TCAAGAAGAATTACTGAACTGCAGTGGTGGAAAGTTGAATCTTCATCAGGAAGACATCCAACTACCTAAAAATAGTGCAGACTTCAAACCTCTGTACGTCTGCTTTGATGAGAAGTAACAGTCATGTCATGGCCATTCCATGATTGATGCTGGTTCCTGAAATCCTTGCGTATCCCCAGAGGATGCTGTCCAGCAATTTCAGTTGACCAAACTGTTAAGCATTTTCCTCTGAAGCAAGAGAACCTAGAAGCAGTCTGGAGCTTGGGGCGGAGTAGGCTGGACAAGTTGTGAGGTGAGGAGAGTGGCTGCTGATCCTGTTTTTTGTTTCGACTGCTGCTTGAAAGGAGGTATTTATCCTGCTACATACACTACACAGGCTGCTCCAACTTGCCATAAGGTTTTCTTTATTTTTACAGCATTCAAAAGAGACAGGACTGTAAATTATCTTCTCTGATTACTCTGAATCACATTAGCCTGCTGTATTTTGTGTGTAAGTGTACCCCATGGTGACCAAAGAACTTGGGGTGGCTTTACCAGGGAGGTGACATTGCTGTGCCTGCCCTTTCCCAGGTGCACACAATCTGCTGCCTGCAGCACCCCATGGGGAGCACATACCAGGGAGCAGCTTTACCCCCAGTGCCAGGGCAGCTCTTAGGGCTCCCCTGCAAACCCCACTCACCTGCCCTCAGGGGGATGGCCAGTGAAGAATTTACACAGCAGGGAGGCCATCCTCTAAAGGAAAAATATCCTTGGACACTCGGAAACGTTTTGTTTCTAGCTGCCAGGGAAAATACTGACATTTATCTTTGGTTCTGGTGCCAAGTTACATTTTGGCTTGCTCATGCTGAGCAACTTTCTGGCTTGGAGAAAGAAGAAAAAGAAAGCAGGTACGCCACAAGGCTCTTTGCTGCCTTTTATTATGCCCATCTCTGAGTTGTTGCTTTTCTCCTTACTCTGCATCAATTCATGTGGGAGGGGGAAGAAGCGACTGTGGCAGCAATGCACAACAGAAACTGGAAACAATCACCTGCACTTTGGGGCATGGTGACCAGCAACTCTGCTGGGAGCTGGGGATAATAGCCAGGGCATGGTAACCCACACTAATAGCTGGGAAAACTACTTGATGTGCTTCCAGGTTTGCTGGTTTGTCCTCCTCTTACACCTTCCTGGGGAAAGGTGTGGAGCTGCTGCTTGCTGACAGCCCCACTGTGCAGCTTGGAAAGAGTTTCTCTGTGTTCTCAATACTTGCCTCTGGGAGGTGAAGAATTCTGGTTTGCACAAATAGTTCACATTTTATTGTTATAACTTACCCAATCATAAATTGCGTTCTTCATTTATTTTATTATTACAAGGTGTTATGTAGTTTATGTAAAGATAGTTGATTCTGTAACTGATTCAGACTGCTGGCTTTGCTTTCCCAGGAAGGAAGAATCCTTATTTCGGGAAAGTATATACTCACCCTCAGAGGAATCGCCAAAGGCCTGAGACCCAGATCCTGTCCTGTGAGGAAAATGCCACTGGTGGTTATTCCCTTGGGCTGAACTGAGGATGAGCAGCAAAATCTGAGGAATGCATCCTGAAAAAGGGTGAACTTGTCTGCTCTCCAATCCTGGTCTCCTCTTTGCTCTCTCTTGCGGAAGATATTGGCTTGGGGCAGTTTCTGTATAGAGAAGCCTTTCCTGAAGGGAACCTAGTTTGGGACACTGGGATAGCTGAGAACAACTGCTGAGCAAGAATATTCACCACTGTAGTTTGAGCAAAATACTGTTTACCCCTTTCTTATTCATTTGCCTCACCCATTTCCCTGTTTCTCACTGGAGGCAATAGCTGCCTTAGGCATGGGAGTAACAGCAGATCCCGCAGCTACCATGGCTGTCAGACCAGAGTGGCCACCACACATCCAGGACCCTTGGAAATCTGCTCTCTCTGCTATAGCACCCTGTTACCACGCCCAAAGTACCACTGCCCAAAGCCCCTTACATGCGGAGAGATGCCACCGCATGGTCTGTCCTTCACACACATATCCCACCCTGACTAGTCCAGGTGCTGCTGCACAGCATGCTTATGCATACCAGAGATGATACACTTCTTACCAATGCCATGTCACTGCTGTTAGATATGAGCAGAAGACCCCTATGGGTACCTGTGAGTATTTGATTGTGGTCTCTGGTCCTAGCTGTGCTGCTGCCAGCACAAGTGTCCTTCATTCATGGGAAAGCAGAGAAGAAGAGGGTCAGCAACTAGACCAGTAACTTCCTGTGCTCAGAAAGTCTCAGGAGCTCAAGTGCTGGCACTCAGACTTGCCTTTCTCTGGGTGTCTGGTCTCCTTTTGCTTGCCCACAGCTCTTTTTCAGTCTCACCTCTCTTCTTCACAGGGGAGATGGCTAGGCTCGGACCAACTAGTCCTGCTTACAGTGGGTGAAGTGGCTTGGCCTCTGGTTCATCAAGGTTTCTGCATATCTGCAAGGTTCCTTACTCATCACAGACACCACCACCCTTGGTAAAACCCCAGGTCCTCACAGTGGACCATGAGGGAAACTACTTCTTGCCACCTGCCAGGCCAGATTCCTCAGTGAGACACTTGATTCCAGCAAGAGCAGGAGCACTCAGGAAGGGGTGCCCAGCTAAGCAGCAACATGGCACACACGTGTAAGTGACGTGCATCCACAAAGGATCCTGACTTCTGATGCTTGTGTTTTTGAGTCCTCCCAGTTTTAAGTGTGACACACAAGATTTGCTGGACCCATCTATACCAGCTTCATAGGGTATACACAGTGGATCCAAACCAGCTAGCATCAGACCTGTTATGTTACTGAGAGCTTGCCTTTCCAATTGGGAGCCAGATACTTTTGTGCGGGGACTTGTGCCTTAAATGTGGCATTGATAGCAACATGCTGAGGGCTGTTTCTACTGCAAAAAGAAAGTTGTAGTGGAGCCACTTTTTCTGAGTTATTTACAAGACCATTTCCTCAGACACAGCAGAAGCTAAACAGTAAGAAGCAGTTCCTTTGCTTGTCTCCATGGGCTCCTGCCACCCAGAGCTCAGCTGAAGAGCCTCTTAATTTCAGTTTTCCTCAGAGACATTTTCCATGGTTTCCTCCCATACCTAGAGAACTGAATATTCCCTTGTTGCTTCACCTCACAGATTCTCCCATTTTTTGTGCTTTTCTTTCGTATATTTCCAACATGCACTTACTATTGGCCATAGTTGCTTCTTCTCTCACAGTCTTGTGTGTCTGCTCTACTATGGGCATTGACTTCCTCCTGTGTTTGAGATAGAGATTGCTGCTGTTTGTATGGCCTAGACATATCCCTTTTCATGGAACTATCTCAAATGAGGATTAGTGATTACTCAAATACATAGCAATTTAAAGTATGAAATAGCCAAGTTCTTTGCAAAAGTCTGCTCCCGACTGCCTCAGACTGCTCACCCAAAGTTAAAATAAACTTTTTGTCTTGATCCCCATGTTCTGTTTCACATAGAGGGATGACAATCCTTCACTTCACTAGTATATTAGAAAGATAAAGAAATATATGTGCATGTGAAGCTCCCAGATACTAGAATAGTGAGAAGCACAGAAAATACTTGGTTTTGTACTTTAAAATGTTTTGTCCTTTAAAAATGGGGCTTGAGTCAAGGAAACATCTGATGCAGAAAAACTCAGTTCTATGACAACTTTTTCTTTCTTTCCCTGACAAATGTTCAGCTCACCTCCCGATATTGTGGGACATGAGGGAATGACTAGGATAGAAGCAGTTGAACCACCTCCAACAGATTACAGCAGCAGAGATCCCCTATTCACCAGGGAGAATCTACTGTGGGAATCTCCAGTCGGTTTAAGTTCATGTTCTGTTTATGCGTGCATAAGCAGAGCAAACTTGGCAGGCTGAACAGTCTGTCCCCTAGGAATATTGACAGATGAATGTAAACTCAATTACCTTGCTTTTTCATTCCAGTTGGGTTACTTGTGCTGTGTACTAAGTACATCAGCATCTGGAGTCACTTTGAACAACAGGAGAAAGCATTTCCCAGTGACAAAAGTAGAATTTTGTACAGTATTTATAACTTGCAAAAGGCAGGGGGTTGGCTGTGCTTTGTTTCCCACCATCCTGAAAAAAACTAAACAAACCAAGGCCTATCTTGGGGGTTCATCATCTCCAAGGGCTTTGTTTGGAGGAGGGAATATAGCTAAGTGGCTGATAGCCATTTTGCCTATGAGCCTGTAAAAGTGAAAGATGCAAAACCAGCTCCTGAATTTTCTTTACCTTTCTCCTAACCACCACCATCTTCACTATTCATTAACCCAGCTCATTACTGAAGGCTGAAAACACAAAAGTAAACATGAGTTAATGAGGTTTGCACCTGGGGGTGGTAAATAAAGCTGCTGTGTGTGTGTGAGCTCTTGAAGAGAAACTCAGTACTGTAGGAGAACAAATCTCAGTACAGAAAGGACAGGTCTGCCTGGTGTAGGGAGTGTGTGTGGACAATAGGAAGAATATGGTAATTTTTCTGACTTCATAATCAGACAGGGAATGATGGGGAACAAAATCTTTCCTAAATTTATCCCTCCAATTAGAAAACACATGTTTGCCTTATCTCTGTTTTCATTGCAGCTGGATCCAGAAATTGATGCTAATCTGAGTCCTTTCTCCTGTGCAGTTCAGGACATTTCAAATCCATATTTTTCATCCTGGGGTTTTGTCTCAGAGAGAATTGAGACTTTGTCTTGGACTTAGAGAATCGAGACTTTGTCTGAAATGCAATAATAGGGGGCATGCTAAACAAAATGAGTCTTTGTGTACCATTGTTATCAAAACATTATAGCAGCAGGAAATAGCTAGACATGGATTTTCCTTTGCTAGTTAGCTGCTACTATAGATCTGTTGAAGTTCAACTCATTTTACTTTTAAATTCGATTGCAGCAGCTGAATGCTTTGCAAAGAAAGAAAGAGCCTGTAAGATGTTTCTTTATGAAACAGCAATGCACATAAGAAGTCAGTAGGTTTTCACCTTACCATTTCCTTTATTCAATCCACACTTGTCCGAATGTGACTTTTACTCTTGTGCCCAAGCATGACCTACCTTCCACCTCACTGATGCAGTGTCACCAGCAAGCAGAAATAAGCCCCCCTGTAAAACCAGCCCCTTTTGGAGCTGCACATCACAGCCAGGCTCACCCCTCCAGGCGTCGGTCATTGGAGACAAGATCAGTCTTGAGGATGCTGCTGTGAGCTGCTGGGTGGAAGAAACATGCTGCACGATCTTATTTCCATGGCAGAGTGTGCTCTCTTTCGGTGCTCTCCCATGCACAGTGCTATGGACTGAAAGAAAAGCAAGCTTTATAAAAGCAGACCTCCCTAGGAATATGTTCAGGGATGAATTCTCTTCTTCTGATGCTCAAATCAAGGTGAGGATTAACTTCACTGAAGACAGTGGAGCCAAACCAACACAAGTCAAAGGAGATTCAGACTGTACCTCTAAGAAGCATCTATTCCTATTACTTCCCAGACTTTAATTGCTGCAAATATATGAATCTTAATATTAACTGACTTCAAGTCATAAAGCCCTAATTGTATATGCAGACTACTAGTAACGCAGTGTGTTGCTGCTGCATAAAACACGCATAGATTGTACACAAATTAAAAAGCTTAAATTTAGCTTCAACCACACAAAAGACATCTTTATAACTAAGAATGATGGGAAGAAAGATCTCATTCCAAACCAGATGAACAACTCATTTTTTCACTGATCCTGGATTTGGCTGACCTGACTTAAATGTGACCTAAGACATTTCTTAGTGCTTTGGAAATTGCATCAACATACTTGGGTCGAAGATGCCGCAGTCAGGAAGAAAAAAAAAGGGGGGATTCTATTTTTAAAATTCTGCTGTTCCTGTTTAAAATAGATCAGTGAAGCATAACTTTTCCTATAGCTGTAATTCTTCAGGCTAAGCAAACTCCAGTAATTTCAAAGGCAGTGGGAACAAGGGGTCACTCGGGGCCAGCCAGCCAGCCAGCCAGAATTAACTCTTTGTTCTTTTCTAGGCAAAGCTTTTGTCACGTAATTGTTGTTGAAAAGAGCTTATAAGTGAAAAGTTAAGCTTTTCCTAGCAAGAAAGAACAATCTGAAAAAGTATGTAGCAGTCGTCTCAGGGGTGTACAAGAACACTGAGGGAAGAAAAACATCAAGGGAAATTCAGCTCTAGTATCTATCACTAGCACAGGACTGGATTTCCTAGAATCACAGAATGGTTTGGGTTTGAAGACCTTTAAAGATCATCTAGTTCCAATCCCCCTGCCATCAGCAGAGACACCTTCCACTGGACCAGGTTGCTCAAAGCCTCATCCAACCTGGCCTTGAACACTGCGAGGGATGGGGCAGTCACAACTTCTCTGAGCAACCTGTGCCAGTGTCTCACCACCCTCATAGTGAAGAATTTTTTCCTAATGTCTAATATAAATCTCCCCTCTGTCAGTTTAAAGCCATTCCCCCTTGCCCTGTCACTACATGCCCTTGTAAAAAGTCCCTCTTAAGATTTCTTGTAGGCCTCTTTAGGTATTGGAAGCTGCTCGAAGGTCTCCTCAGAGCTTTGTCTTCCTCAGGCTGAACAGGCCCAACTCTTTCAGATTGAACTCATAGCAGAGAGGGACCAGCTTGCAGATCATCTCCATGGCCTCCTCTGGACTCAGTTGAGCAGGTCCACATCCCTCTTGTTGGTGGCTCCAGAGCTGGACGCAGTTGCAGCTGGGTTCTCAAGAGAGCAGAGCAGAGGTGTGGAATCACCTCCTTCGACTTGCTTGTCACAGTTCTTTAGATGCAGCCCAGCACATGGTTGGTTTCTGGGCTGCAATCTCACACTGCTAATCTTCTCATCAGCCAACACCCCCAAGTCCTTCTCCTCAAGGCTGCTCTCAATTTTGCTAAATAACAACTGCCGCTAGGTAGCTGGTGTCAATAGGAGACTGCCAGCATCTATGAACACCTTCCAGCAACAGGAGGCTATGAGCCACAGCAGTGTACAAGCTTTTCCTGACATTACCAACAGTGCTGAGAGCCCCAAAGCCTTTCTGCAATATCATAGACCTGAAAGGCTTCAGATTTAGGGGAAGAAAGCAACTTTCCAGCAGCATGACCTGACCCCCTTGAATGCTTAACATGAATAGCATAGATCCTTGTTCCATGATTGTTTCGTATCAGGCAGCTAGACATACTTCATAAAATAAATCTTTTTTGAGCTAGTGTGTTAGATGATTTTTAGATCACATATTTTATACCAATATCCAAATAACCACCAAACATTGAAAAACCCAAGGAGGCATAGGTAGACTGTCCTTGCCATTAAGATGTTGTCCTGGGTTCAGCAGTAGCAGTCATGTTTTTCCTTCTTGGTAGCTGGTGCAGTGCAGTGTTTTGACTTTCGGCCTGGGAACAGAACTGATAGCGATGTTTTGGTTTGGCCAAGGACTTTGTGAGCCTCATGCTCTGCCAGGGAGGAGGGGAAGCCATTGACCCAAACTGACCAAAGAGGTATTCCATACCACAGCACGTCATGCCCAGGAGGTGTTCCTGGGAGATGGCAGGGTTGGAGGAGGTATCGGGCAGTGCTTGGTCGGACTGGGGAGTTATCCGGCTGGTGCTGAGGTGTTGTATTCTCTTCCCTTGTTATTTCCTTTATCATTATTATCACTGGTGGTAGCTAGTGATTTGTGTTATACACTACAAACCCGAGTTGTCAGAGCAGGGGGAGGGCAAGAAAGGGGGGAAGTCCACGACAGATGTGTTTAGCTGAAGCATGGACTCCTGGCCTGAATTCACACCTTTGAGCATTGGCTATTCCACAGATAATGTTCCTTGGAGTAAAACTCTGTCCTTATGTGACCTCAGCTGCACACAAAGAGTTGTCATCAATGGCTCAATGTTCAGCTGGAGACCAGTAACGAGTGGCATCCCTCAGGGATTGGTGTTGGGACCGGTCTTGTTCAACATCTTCGTCGCTGACATGCACAGTGGGATTGAGTGTGCCCTCAGCAAGTTTGCCGATGACACCAAGCTGTGTGGTTCATTTGATACCCTGGAGGGAAGGAATGCCATCCAGAGGGACCTTGACACGCTTGTGAGGTGGGCGATGCCAACCTCATGAAGTCTAACCATGCCAAGTGCAAGGTCCTACACCTGGGTCGGAGCAATCCCAGGCACAGCCACAGGCTGGGCAGAGAAGAGATTCAGAGCAGCCCTGCAGAGAAGGACTTGGGGGTGTTGGTTGATGAGAAAATGAACATGAGCCGGCTTCAGTGTGCGCTTGCAGCCCAGAAAGCCAACCGTATCCTGGGCTGCATCAAAAGGAGCGTGACCAGCAGGTCGAAGGAGGTGATCCTGCCCCTCTACTCTGCTCTTGTGAGACCTCACTTGGAGTATTGTGTGCAGTTCTGGTGTCCTCAACATAAAAAGGACATGGAACTGTTGGAACAAGTCCAGAGAAGGGCCATGAGGATGATCAGGGGACTGGAGCACCTCCCGTATAAAGACAGGCTGAGGAAGTTGGGGCTGTTCAGCCTGGAGAAGAGAAGGCTGCATGGAGACCTCATAGCAGCCTTCCAGTATCTGAAGGGGGCCTATAGGGATGCTGGGGAGGGACTCTTCCTTAGGGACTGTAGTGATAGGACAAGGGGTAACGGGTTAAAACTTAAACAGGGGAAGTTTAGATTGGATATAAGGAGGAAATTCTTTCCTGTGAGGGTGGTGAGGCACTGGAATGGGTTGCCCAGGGAGGTTGTGAATGCTCCATCCCTGGCAGTGTTCAAGGCCAGGTTGGACGAGGCCTTGGGTGATATGATTTAGCGTAAGGTGTCCCTGCTCACGGCAGGGGGGTTGGAACTAGATGATCTTAAGGTCCTTTCCAACCCTAATTATTCTATGATTCTATGACCTATCAGCTGTAGCTCAATTCACACTTCTCTAAAAGTTACTTGCCATCCTCCAGGCAAGTCATAGGATAGATGATTTTTTTTCCAATACTTTTCAGATATAGGAATGGCATTTAAAAAAGCCAAACAGATCCCAAGTGGCTTCCAACTGGATGAAGTAATGATAGTTTGGAACCGGAAAGGCTTGGCCTCAGTAGTTTGAGAGCCAAACACGGGAAACCGAGGTAGACATTCAGGCTTTGAAAACACCAGCTACCTTCTGTTAGTTTGTATCTACATTTACATAAACAGCTCTCAGCAGAAGAAAATGAAATTTGTTTAAGTATTTCAGCCAAAGGACAGCAATTATAACAATAAGGCACTCCTTTCCCTACCTTCAAAGCATTTGCTAGTATCAACAGCAGACCTGAGACCAACTCCTGAGGCTTCGATGTCTTCTTACTAAGCCAACTTGACACTCTACAGATCTGCTCTTTGCATTATGTTGTGAAATGTTTCAAACATTTTCTAGTCAGAGTGGTTTGTCCCATTGGTTATGGGATAGAAGTTACTTGGGTACACTGCAATGATGTTGCAAAGTCCTTTTTGAGAAAATAGCTTCTTCATGCCATAATTGCGGAGTGTGACCAGTGGATAGAATGGACTAATAAATCTTTAGTCTCAGGCCAGTGCCCTCTGAAACATTCATGGTTCCTTAGTTGTGCTAAGGTAATAACCTGCCCTTATGTGGCATAAATGCTTAATGATATTTTAACTTACACATCACTGAGCATGCATGGTTTCTAGGGAAAAAAAAAACAACCCAGATGTAAGTGTTTGAAGTATAAAAACCTTAGTGGTCTGGAATTGTATAGCAGGAAGGAATACCCTGTAGCTACAACTTACAGAAGCTCCTCATGTTGGTGTTGACAAAACCAAAGGGAGCCTTCTCCAACATTCCGAAGTATTCCACGTGTTTAATGGAACGTGCAGAACCTTTTGAGCAAAAAATCTCTTTCCCTTTATAAACAAATGTCTGCAGTATATAAACTATTATAAAGACTAATTTTTAAAGGCTTAGTCAAATATAAATTTATGACATGGTTTAAAAATGCTAAAGATAACTTCTAAAAATGAGTGGTGAGCTTGATTTATGCAGTGCCATGTGATTAATGCAGTGATATGTTTTGATCCTCACCAGGGTCTAAAGCACATAGAGCACATTTTTTCACCTTTTTCAGTACAGATAATACAGTTTACAGCAGTGAGAGTCAATTCAGAGAGTTAAGAGACAGGACAGTTGATAGCATGTAAATCTGCTTTTGCCTCTTTGGCAGAGCTGCAGGGAGTAATTCCACCAGGTTTGATTCAGTTTTTCTGCCAGTGGTACTTGTAAAATACTTTAAAATCT